ATAATGGGGATCATGGGACTTAGTAAGTAAGGTTATGAGTACCTTAATCGGGGTTTTAAGTAGCTATAAGTATAGTTACCCTAATTTATAACCCTAGTTACTAAGTTCCACGATCCTTGAAGCAGGGTACAGGGTTTACGGTGCTTTGGATGTCTGATGTAGCCTCCAGAACACTAGAACAGAGGTCCGGGTTGCTCACAGCACCACCAACGGGACTACAAGGAGAAACAGATAGCAACCGTTTCAGACCTCTTTGTCAGGCTGGGAGTTCGAAGGAATGGGGCTTCGGCGTCATGGCGGGTTAGGATACATGAATACATATATATGTATGTACATATGTCTAGGCGCTTTATGGCTATAGGGTTTAGGGTTTAGAGCATACACCTGAGATTCAGAGACTCCGAATTTGGGGCCGTAGTGCTTCATTTTACATGTTATGCCGGATCTACCAAGGATTTGGGGTATCTAGCATGGGGGCGAGGCCATAATGCATACCTGAATTACTAGGTGGGGCTTTTGAAGCCTTTGAAAAATATTAGTAAATAAGATCCTCTTAACCCCAAAAAGGGAAAATATAAAATGTCCCAAAGCCCTACCTGAATTAGGTTGCCTGTGGTATCCTCAAACAGTACAGCAAGGAGCCATGAGGCGTTACATACTGTAGGCAGGTAGTTAGTCTTCTTTATCAAGCCCCAGAGAGCCCAAGGGGCCCCTTAATTAAGGAATACTTAGGGTTCCTTTAAGGGATCTATAGGGTTTAGGGCTCCAATACCCCTTAATTAAGGAATATGGCTTAAATTATATAGGGCTTCATATTATGACTTAAGCGATATTCCTTGACTAAGGGGTATGGGACTCTCTGGAGAGCTTCTGGTGCAAAAATTCTGCGGAGTAGGGTTTGTGATCTCAAGCCTGAACGCACTCACTAAGCCCTGAATGAAAGTGGAGACAATCAGAAATCTCTACCGCCGACCCTCAGAAGAACTCTAGTCTAAAGGCTTTAAAGACGAAATCTCAACCTCTATGCCGCTACGCCCCAAGCCACCCCAAAAAATGGTTTCCGAAAATAGGGGACCCTAATCTAGTACCCTAAATAGTAGGATCCTTATTATAGGGACCCCAACAGAAGGTACCCCCAATTTTCGGAAACTCCCATATCAACACCGAGATGCTGAGACCTTCATCCCCATAGCGCAGGAGACAAAAATCCATGTAGATCCGTTTAAAACCATCACCAAACCCACAAAAGAAACCTTTTTACAACCCCAGTACGCGAAAACGCAATCCTATATAGCACCACATTCGATCATGTATATACAAGAGCTTGAGCAAAGCTGTACAACTTCATAGAACCCTACAAAGTCTATATACTAAACGCGCTCCACCCAAAACAACCTATGACCCTTCACCACCCCTCCTCTTGTTCCAGAAAAATTGCATGAAGAAACCTAAGCAATCCTAGGCACGCCAAACAAATCCCAAAGCCTGAAATCTTAAAAACACTTGAACCCCACAAGGCCGTATGCCCTAACACCCCAGCACCTGCAGACAGACTAATAACCCTAAACCCTAAACCTCAAACGCAAAACCTCAAACCCCAAAACCTAAACTTCAAGCCCCAAACCTCAAACCCCAAAACCTCAATCCCTAAACCCTACTGTAAAGACCCTAAACCTTAAACCCCAAAAAGATGTAGAATCATGGCCTTTTGTAGGTTTTGGGCTATTATTTTAACTACTTTGGGGGGTTTAGGTAAACCTAAACCCCAACAAAGTCCATCATCCTCGTAAACCCTAAAGGCCCTAAACCTCAAAACCTCAGCGCCTGCAAACAAACTGACCCAAAACCCTCAACCTCAAACTCAAAACGTTCACCTACTTTTGGGGGTTTAGGTAAACCTAAACCCCAAAGCCTCCATCATCCTTATAAACCCTAAAGTCGGCCCTAAAGGCCCTGAGCCTTAAAACCTCAAACCTCAACCTCTAAACCTTAAACCCCCTAAACCCTAAACCCTAGAAACCCTAGAAACCCTAGAGACCCTAAGACCCCTAAACCTCAAAACCTCAGCACCTGCAGACCCAGGGGGATCTTGTCGGATTCCAGGCTGAGCTCGACTTCGACGCCTGGCGCACCCCCTTCTGGCCGGACGCCCAGGGACCGAAACTTTTGAGAGAGATAAACAAATAAATAAATAAATAAATAAATATATATATATATATATATATAATTACTTACATATATATATATATATATATTTATTTACATATATATATATATATATATATATATATGTATATGCACGTGTGTATATATATATATATATATGACGTGTATATACATACATGTATGTATATGTAGATATATACACACATTTTGTGTATGCTCACTTGGGTTCATGTATTCTTTGACCATACACACATATATACATATACATATGTATACATATGTATATATACATACATACATACAGGTTTAGGGATTGGGGTTCAAGGTTTAGAATTTAGTCTAGGAACCTGATTAAGGAAACTTGGGCCTTTGTTAGGGTTCCTTCTATGAATCCTACTGTTTTGGGGTTATAGGACCAGGGTTTCTTAATCAGGTTCCTACATTACAGGGTTTCGGGATTGCCTTACTCATGGCCCATAAGTTCCCGTAGAAAAACTTGGCTGACTTCTAAACGCCGCCTACAACTTAAACTTTAGTCTGCTTATTAGAGTTCATATAGAAGCCCCACCGTATTAAAGCCCTAAGAGCCAACCAGAAGAATGCCAAGAACAAAGGTCGCTTCGGGCGGCTGCAGCTAGAGTTCAAAAGGTGAAGGCATCTAGCCTCATCTCTTCGTGCTTTGCAGTGTAGGATGGGGTTTGTGGCGTACTTGGAGGTTCATGGGCAGTTATAAATAGGGTTATAAGTCCCCTAATAGGAGTTATAAGTATAGTTACCCTACTTCTAACCCCACTTATAACTACCCATGAACCTCCAAGTAGGGCAGGGCTTAAGGTTACAAGGTGGCGGCTTGAGGCTCAATCGTCAAGTTTGGGGTCTCGGCCTGGGGCAATGCTGATGACTTGACTTGAGGATTAGGGCAGGGTTAAGGGTATGGAATGCTTGAGAATTCAAAATTTGGGTATGGCATCACCCAGGGTTCTAGCTCATGAGCCGTCCGAGTTTCCATCAATGCGGACCCGTGATAAAGAACTCGCACTACTCTCTTTGGGTCATTAACTTTGATCAGGGTTATGCTCCTTAGGACGGGACGGGGGCTTTGCTTATCAGAGGGGTCTACATTATCGTATAGTCGTGCTGGCTTCGAGTACCAACTCTTAGGCTGTTCAGAAACCCATTGGGAAGAAGTAACCTACTGTTGTGGGCTGGCTAGATTGTGCTGGGGTTGAAATAGGAACTTGGAAATATAAGGTAAACTAGCTTGCCACCGACCAACCTACGGCTGATGATATGTATATATATATATATATATATACATATATATATATGCATATGTATACACACACAAATTAATATCCTGCATTACCTTAAGGGCCCTAAACTATGGGAATTATGGTATATTCCTTATTATGGGTAATGCAGGATTTGTATCAGCAACCGTAGATTTAGACGTCCCTGGAGCAGAACAACAGGCACATGCAGATGCCAGTCCCAGCAAGGCACGACTTAGGGTTTCCTGTCCACATGACGGTTTACCTGAACCCCCCAATAACCTACCTTTTTCAAGATGTGTATAAAGAAATCAAAATAGGGAACCCTGAAAAGGAAGGTTTTGCAGGGTCCAGGTAGGGTTTAGGGTTTGAAGATTGGGGCTTCAGGCATCGGCGCCTATCAGAATCGAGTTCGTGACCACGACTAGGCCGAAGAAAAGGTCGAAGAGGGTATGCCTCTCAACTCGAAGCCAGAGGGTTTCGATCTTATAGGGGCTTAAAGTTTAGGGATTAGGGTGTCGCGATGTTACCTGCCCAGCTAAGGTTAAGGCCCACATATTTGGGTATTTTGGGAGTTCAAGAAGGGTACCACAAGCGTTTGGGGTATAAAGTCCATCTAGTATACATTTTGGACCCAGACTTACTAGGAGCCCCAATTATGCCCAAGTACATGCTATACAGGCATACGAATGCTTCGTGAAATTGCTTTTGATGCTCGAACATTCCTTGATGACGGCGAAGGTTTAGGGCCACGTGGTGTCAAGTGCATGGGGCTGAGCGGGTTGGCTATCCGTCTTAAGGTTTGCCAAGGAGATTTTGTTATGAATACCGTAGAGAACTCCACGGGGTAGGTATGACTAACTACAGTACTCATTCAGGCCAAGATGACTGCTTCTGGGAGGACCCTTCTCAAGGTTCCTTAGTAATTCCTTTAGTGTGATTGTGGGTTAGTATAGTATGGGCTTGCATATGGGGACTTGAGTTGAGGCTTTGCAACGGCTCGGATTGAAAGGAGGGCGGACACCCAGCAGGGACGGGGGGGCCTTTCAGTCGTTGAGGTTTTTCAGTAAGTGGAGGCTGAAGAATTCAGGCGTCTCGGCTTCAGAATTGAATTCGTTCACAATTCCAGGACCCTAAATAACCCCAGGCTCGAAGCCCCAAACTTGTCATACGAAGCAGGATTTCTGAGAACTTGCTATTGGGGATAGCGTCACTACCCTCCGCCAGGACATCACTTACAGCCTCAGCAGCATGAGGACCCGTATCTTGTCAGGTTTACTGTAATCAGAAGGCTCCAAAGGTGGGATGAAGGTAGGTGGGAGTCCTTGTAATTATAAGGGATCCTTCATCCTACCTACCTTCATCCGACGCAAAGGCTTTAGGGTTTAGGATTTTAGGCCTGGGTAAAGTAACACCGTCATAAATTCAGAAAGATCTTTATTTCTTTAGAACAGTATTCTCCTGTCGGGCTCATCAGTTATATGTACTTACACTCTCACATACCCCAAAACCCTCGTTCAGGAACCAGGGCTTTGGAATTTGGACTTGCGACCTCTGCCAGACCTACTGCAATTTACCCGTGCGGGCCAGTTGCAGATTCAGCTTCGCCTCGAAGTGCCCCGGGGACAAAGCGACCCCAGCGCCGCCTGCTGGTGTCCAGCACGGAACGATCATACAACCATGTGCCACGACCAGGCTGTCCAGGGCCAGCATGTCTCTCTGCACTGCGGAGACATCGGCAAATTTCCTTGCAGAGACATGCGGGGTTACGCTGCTTTTGTTGCTGGTATCAGCCCGGCCAATTGCAGCATCTTGCAGCCTGAGCGCAAGTTAATAACGCTGTTAAGAGTGCTGCAGGTTCAAGGGTTTACGGGTTTAGTGTTTAGCGCAATATCCCCAAAACCTCATGAGTAACCCATTAAGCCCTGAATCTCATGGTTTATAGCAAATTAGTTTCACCCAAAACTACCCTACACCCTACACGCAAAAGCTTCTGCTCTCCATAGCAGAAGCCTTGTTGATAGTGAAGCCTAAAAGCTATCTCCGAAACCGTCACTACGTCCCATAGCAGCAGCAATGATGTTGAGACCGTTTGAAACACCTATCCCTTGGCTCCCACAGCTTAGAGTTTCGCATTGAGGGTAGGGAATGCAGGGAAATAAATCCCTTTGACGGCCGCTTAACTTAACGTCTCGTAGCGTAGTCCTTGTAGCCCATTCCCCCTCCCTAAACCCTAAACCCTAAACCCGATGGTCGCCTGACGATCTGAGCAATGAAGGTGTTGTTCTCGGGATTCCTAGGTCACTGTTAAGGCTTGCATATCCAGGGGTTGGGCATTTGAGGGGTTTGAAGATTCAGTGGTTTTAGGTTAGTTCAGGGTTCTAGGCTTTCGGGTTTTGGGAGCTTCTGGATCAGTGGCTTAAGGTTTCTGGGGTTGAGGGAGGGGTTCAGTGTGCGGACTTTCACATACCCTCGAATCTTTAAGGAAAGCTGCGCATCATTCATGTCAGGGTTTAGAGCTTAAGATAGTTTATGCCTTGATTCGACTGATTTGGCTAGAGGACTTAAACCAAGTCTATGCCAGAACCCGCAGATTTGCAGTCATCCGGACACAAGCTGGCTCAAAAACCGGACCTTCGACCGGCATATGCACGTACTTTAAATCCTCTTCAGAAAAGCAACATTAAGCCTCAAATCCCGCTTCAAACAAGCGACAACCCCCGAGTCTATGCTCAGAGATAACTCTTGCTGTGTATAAACATGGGGTCTCCGCAAATAGGGGACCCTAATCTAGTACCCTAAAAAATAGGAGCCCTTTTATAAGGACCCCAAATAAGGTACCCCTAATTTTCGGAAACTCCCATATACACACACCTATAGGCTTAAAATAGCTCGCGAAGCCGCAGCTCCAAACCCGAAGAAGAATAACCCATATGCAAAACCCTAAAGCCTAAACCCTAAACCGATGTATACTTGCGTACATATGTACCAGATGCCTGAAAACAACAGCACGCACACACACACACACCCACACACACGCGCACGCGCACACAGACACACATTCTGTCTTTCTCTCGATATATATATATATGTATACAGATACACATACATGAATGTGCAAGTGTATACATATACATACATGGACCCAGAAAGCAAGCGCTCGTGAGCCCCGCGCCCGCATCCGAAAGCACACAAACACGGGTCCTTTTGAGGGCTCCTGTACTTACGTTTTTTGAGGGTTTCACTAGGGTTCTATGACGGTTCTATCCGGGTTCCTTTGAGGAATCGAAGTTACGATTCGAGCCTCTTAAGGGTTCTATGATGTAATGTGGGCTTTCTTCACTCGACGAAGCTTCGTCAACATACGGACTTGTGACTTTAAAATATTCAGCCTTCGAAATGGGAGTTTCCGAGAATTGGTGGTACATTATTTGGGGATCCTTCTAATGCGGATCCCACTGTTCAGGGTACTGTGTTAGGATCTCCTATTTTCGGAAGCCGCCAAATATCAAACACGCAAACACAACAAATCGGCGAAAAGACCTGGCTGCCAAGACCAACAAACCACCAAAGTCCTAAACCCGATACCGTAAGTCTCCTCTTGATTCTTTCCGGGCTGAGTCTCCTTAGAAGCCCCTTACAGGTGGGTAGTTCTTCTTCCATAGTACTCCCATAAGACCCCCTTTACCTTATAGGAGTGGTATGGGAGGCTTATGGGAAACTACCCACCTAATAACTACCCACCTGTAAATGGCTTAGACTCCTAGCCCCGAAAGAAGTGTTAACCGTTTCACTTATGGCGGGGTTATATGAACCCCCAAAAGTTGAAGAATACCTACTCAGCTATTAAGAATATCTGTTGACATGACTAAACCCCGGACCCCAAATTTCAGATCCATCAAGCAAAAAAACGGTACCAAACTGAACCCTAAACATTGAAAGGAAACCCTAAACAAAAAAACTGTAGATCCCTTAAAAGAGCCCTTCAAAACTCCCTATCAAAGTAGCCACTCAAGGATGCTTTAATTAAAGGGGGATCCCTAGTAGATCCCTTAAAGGAGCCCTTGTAGATCCCTCAAAGGGCATCCCTACAAGATCCCTTACAAAGAGCTCTTACAGATCCCTTCAAGGGCATCCCTGGTAGACCCCTTAACGGGACCCCTGTAAAAGGAACACGACTATAGGGGCCTAAATAAATACCTATACTAGTTTGGGGGTTCCTTATCATATTTGAAGGAAGATGTAAAGGATCCCCTTTAAACCCTATACACCCTAAACCCCCAAATCCTAAACCCCCAAACTTTGAACTCCTAAACCCTAAACCCCTAAACCCTAACAAACCCTAAACCCTAAACCCCTAAACTCCTAAACCCTAAACTCTAAACCCTACACCCCTAAAGCCTAAACCCCTAAACCCAAATCCCTGAACCCCTAAAACCCTAAACCCTAACAAACCCTAAACCCTAAACCGCTTCCGAAGGGCGGGCTCTTGAACCTCAGCGAGGCGTACCTACGCCTCGAGCGATCCCCGTCGGCGGCATCGGCCGTGTTCCTTCCGGGGCTTAGGGCTTTCGGCTGGGCCTTAGGGTTTGGGGGTTTAAGGTTTAGTTTAGGGGTTTAGGCTTTAGGAGTTCAGGGTTTGGGGGTTTAGGGTTTGGGGGTTTAGGGTGAGGGTTTTGGGTTTACGTTTATGCGGGCTCTCTCGTCAGGACAAGGTGAGGATTTAGGGTTTGGGGCTTAGGATACAAGGTTTAGGGCTCAGCGTTCAGGGCTCCGGGTTCATCTGGTTTAGGGTTTAGGTTCGGTAGCGTCTCAACCTTACATTACCCCAATAGCAAAATGGCAAGCAGACGTGGAAATTAAACCCTAAACCCTAACAACTAAAGCAGGACCGCTTTCTGGGAGTTGGGAAAATCGATGCTTCAACTCCCCCTTCTTCAAGAACCGGGCCCAAAAAAGTTGAAACTTTCAATTAGGGTTTAGGGCCTAGTTATATGAGGCGAAGAACCCACGAAGCTTCAAGTTCTCCTTTTGTCTATCTAATCTTAAGGCTCAAAATGGCACAAACGCCTTAAATAATAAGAAGATGGTCTTTAGGCCCAAAAGCCTTAATATGTGAGTCCTTAGAGCCTTAGGGTAAGACTTTCTGCGGAGGCTTCGGGCTCCAAAGCCCGCAGGTCGGAAAAGGACTGACCAAGCCTGGCTTCCGAAACAAAAACAACCTTAGCCTCCAGATTAGAGTTCATATGAAACCCTAAACCCAAAACCCTAAACCCTAAAAAAAGTAAAGTCTTAAGAAGAAAAACCGGAAATATGCCAAGTTGAAGCAGAAGGCCCCCTCGAACAGAGTAGGCTAAAATGGGGGCCTTAATAATTAGGATAGGGGTTTTGGCGGCCCCATATACTATGAATATAATGAGGATCGATTTCTTAAAATAGTACTGGCAATGATTTGGGCCCCTACAGTAGGCCCTAAACCAAAAAAAAACTGGGTCTCGGCTGCAGGACACGGCCTGATCGAGCTCTCAAGTCTAGCTCTTGCTTATCTGCATTTAGGCTTTGGGATTTACGGATTTGATGATTTAAAGGTTTATGGGGACGTAAACCTTCTAGGCTGAACATTACCTGCTCTACTGCTGAGACACCTTCTGCTTGCAGGCACGGTTGCTTCAGTGACATGTCAAAGGCCGAGAAGGAACCTTGGCCGCACAAAGCTACAACGGCCTGGGCCTTACTGGTCAGAACAAGGTCCCTTTCATGGCTACTTGAAGGGGCTGCCAAGTGATATATGAGCGTGTGCATGTGTGTATATATATACATACACATAAACAAACATACGTCTATATATATACATAATGTGTATACGTGTTGTATATGTACAGAAGTACATATGTGTGTGTATATATATATATATATCGATGCCATGTGATGTAAAGGCCGCAGTAGTTAGAATAAGGTATTGGCGTATGTTTCTGCGATACTATTACAATATAACCCACACGGTATTGTTTGACAATGACTCAGTCACTCAGGATTCTAGTGTAGACCCGTGATTAGTCATGATTAGTCAATAGATGCACTACGGTATAGTTTTACAGATGTTAGTTCCTTGTTTTTTTCGCATATATGAAACATAATGAAGTTTAATCAGCATACCAGAAAGTAGTTTGCCAACATACCACAACATATAACCCATCATACCCATGTACTAGAATAACTCCCAGAAACACCATCCAAATATCAAGACACTGCCTCGACCTAGCAGACATGCGGCCAGCATAAGGAAAAACCAAAAAAAACACAACAGACAAACACGGCACGGGCGGGCCAAACTTACAGGACAACGAACAACAACAAAAACAAACGACAAAAAAATGTCAACAACAACAAGACCAACAAGAACAACAAGCAACAACAGAAACAACAAGAAACAACAAGAAACAACAAGAAACAACAAGAAACAACAAGAAACAACAAGAAACGACAACGACCAACAACGACCAACAACAACAACAACGACAACAACAACGACAACAACAACGACAACAACAACGACAACAACAACAACAACAACGACAACAACAACAACACCAACAACACCAACAACACCAACAACAACAACAACAACAACAACCACAACAACAACAACAACAACAACAACAACAACAACAACAACAACAACAGCAACAGCAACAGCAACAGCAACAGCAACAGCAACAGCAACAGCAACAGCAACAGCAACAGCAACAACAACAACAACAATTTTTTTATTGGACGCTGAGCGAGCGGGCTCTGCTCATTGCGGGCGAGCAGAAACTTCGGAAGCGTGCCATCCCCGAGTGTGCCGTGAGCCAGCGCCACCGGGTTAGCCATAAGCTAGCACCACTCCTTTAGGATCTGACCTGCCGACATTCTTATAGAGGTTACGCGGTCTTCGCCCGGCGGCCTTGTAAAGAAAAAGAAACAGACTGGCGCTTTGCGCGAGGGGACTGCCCATGCGAGAATCGCAGGTACCTCCTTCATCCGTTTCTGAGAACTACGACCGAAGTCAGGTCCCGAGGCCTCGCGTAAAACAAGCCAAAACGAACTGACCAAACAAAACCAACAGAGAAGACCGCGCAACCCCTATAGGATCCTCAGTGAAGGAAAAAGAGGAGCCGATGCAACAAACGTTAAAAGAGAAAAGGCCTAAGTCAAGAAGAGCAGCGCTGCAGACTGTACACAGCAGCAACAGCTCTTGGGCACCAGCCTCTAGGGGATAGGCCACAAGAAGTTGACTTCAGTTACAAAGGCGTTGCCCGTTTTTGCGCGAGCGATGCCCGAAACTCCTAACGTGACAGCCCGACTCACAAAGTCGTCGTCATGTAGCCTCCGTCACCCTCAGTGTGAGTCATTGCGTCCAATACTCACGAACTGGCAGCCGGTGGGTCGTACTCAGAAGAGCCGTCTCCCAGAGTTCCCGTCTAGTGGCGTCCCACACTAGGTAACTCCCGACTACCAGCGATGGGCCGTAAGGATAATTCGTCGTCCTGCCTGACCCCGTCGGTAACAGGACAGTAACGAACACACCTGGGAGGGCCGTAGCCGTAGCCCGACACCCATAGCACAGCGAGCGCGTCCGCTGAACGACTGTACCCAGATGTGACGTGGAGCCGTACCAGGTAGACACCGTGCTGGAACTGAAGACGTTGGCCAACTCTGCTGAACCTGAGTCCCCAGTGTCCCAATCTGCGCCTTGTCTTGTAGACAAGTCTGGCCCGGCGGCCCCCGAGAGGCCTCCCCCACCAGAGAGGATAGCCCCTCTAGGCCCACAAGGGCACCCCATAGCAAGAGGAGTCCCTGAAATGCCCGTCGGGGCCAGCATTGGGAGGATGCTGACGCGTTGTGAGTCACCACGTTGCGCCTAGCCTGTCCTGAGTCTGACTTGCTCCCAGGCGCTGGCGGCTGAACAGAAGTGAAGCGCAGAAAACACTCAACCGTGACGAAGAACTCTCGATCGCACTGGCTTCGTAGCAGCTGGTGGCAGTCCACTGTGCCGTTGAAGAAAAAACTAGTGCTCGAAGAAGACTGCATGAGAATACCAGACGATCCGTGTCCTTCTTGCGGAGGTGTACCAGTTAAAGCGCAAAACCAGAGCGCCAGCAAAACTGCGCAGGAGAGACCTTGAGCTGTACCTGGGTGTCTTGTCGTGTAGCTGGAAAGTCGAAGAGAGGAGCGGAACGAGGCCTCAACTCGAAAGCTTCCTTCAGGATACCCAGGTGCAGAAGATGGCCAACCCATGACTGGGGCCGCCCCTTGAATGGCTTGGTGCGGCAGGTCCTTTTGTAAATGTAAAAGCATCGGCAGGAGAAAAGCACTGAGGCACAGTCGACGCGCCTTCCGCTAGTTTCGCCGGAAAGAGAAAACTCGATCCGACTCCCTTCACCCCGCGGAAAGGTGATAACCCTACCGCTTACCTCTTGCCAATGTTGTGTAACTGCAGACAGAGGCCCGGGAATTGGGACCCGGTAGATCACAGCGACACGTGGCTCCAGGGATGGCTATGGCTCAATAAGAGGACGGTCCCTTAAGCTTCGCAGAAGGGGGACGTTGCGAGCCTCTAGCGTTGGTACCCAGAGCCTTGTTAGCAAAGCTACACAGCCTGCTGTGATCCATAGCGGCTACAACAACAACAACAACCACAACCACAACCACAACAACAACAACAACAACAGCCACAACCACAACCACAACCACAACCACAACAACAACAACAACACCACCAACGACAACAACAAGAACAAGGAACGAACAAGAACAGGAGCCCCATTCCAACAACAACTTCTTGCTTTTGTCTCTTCTACCAGACTGGAGACAAAACCTGGTGCCCCGCATGTTGTTCTGCAGGGGGGAGTGTTGTTCCCCTTTGCCCGTATTGTCTCTTCTACAGGATTGGAGACAAAACCTGCTGCCCCGTATGTTGTTGTTCTGAGGGGGGGGGGGCTGTTGTTCCAGTGTTGGTCTGCTGTTGTTCCCCACGGTCTTTGTCTGTACATGAGTAGAAGCAACAAAGCCTGTGGTGCCCCGTGTGTTGTTCTGGGGGGGGGGGGGTGTTGTTTTGGGGGTCCGCGGGGGTTGTTCTGCGGGGGGGCCGGGCGTGTGATAAAAGGTCACAGTGTACATACAGTGTACATCACATTCTGACCTGTTGACAGTCAGCAAGAGCGACTGCCGTTGCCACTACCACCACGACAACGGTGGCTACTTGCTACTTACATTAGGGCTTAATACGCTTGCTAGGAGAGAACATAGGGCACTTAATAACCGTAATGATTAGAATAGGGGTTCGGTGAATACTATACCATGGTTATTATAAGGAACCCCAACAAGAATTGGTAATTATTGAGGCTGCCCAAATAACCTTAATGATTTCAATAGGGGTTTGGTGAATACTATACCATGGTTATAATAAGGAACCCCAACAAGAATTGGTAATTATTGAGGCTGCCAAAATAACCTTAATGATTTCGATAGGGGTTTGGTGAATATTATACCATGGTTGTAATAAGGAACCCCCAGCAGAATTGGTAACTATTTATGCTGCCAACCCGGAACCGAGGTTGTTGTTGCTAGTCCGGTAGAAGAAACAAAACCTGGTGCCCCGTGTGTTGTTCTACCTTCTCCTGGCAACCCATGCCGACCCGGAAACGAAGTTGTTGTTGCTAGTCTGGTAGAAGAAACAAAACCTGGTGCCCCGTGTGTTGTTCTACCCCCCCCTCCTGGCAACCCATGCCCACCCGGAACCGAGGTTGTTGTTGCCAGTCTGGTAGAAGAAACTGGTGCCCCGTGTGTTGTTCACCCCCCCCCCGTGTGTGAGCAAAACCGGGTCTATTTGGGAGCTCCTTCTTATGTCTTTAATAAGGGGAATGTACACGTACATGTAGTTATGAAAAGAAGAAGGCATCTTCCAAATAGACCTGGTCGGTCTTGTCCCAGGGACCCGGGGATCCAAGATTTTGGTTTTTTTTTGTTTTTTTGCATTTTTGGAAAACTCAAAAAACGAAAAAAAATGTTTTAGTTTTGTATTCTTTTGCATTTTTTCAAAAGAACTCAAAAAATGAAAAAAATCAAAAAAATTAAAAAAATCCAGGGTGCTCCCACAGGGACGATCAAGCGCTCCAGGCCGGAGACCCTCAGGGGAGGGGCGCCACGGCCAGGCATCGCCTCCCAGGGACCCGTGGATCCAGGATGTTTTTTGATTTTTTTCGTTTTTTTTAGTTTTTTGGATTTTTTGCCTTTTTGGAAAAAAGAAAAAATGAAAAAGCCAAGTTTTCTTAGTTTTTTAATGTTTTTGCTTTTTTCAAAAAATTCAAAAAATGAAAAAAATCAAAACAAATTAAAAAAATCCAGGGTGCTCCCACAGGGACGATCAAGCGCTCCAGGCCGGAGACCCTCAGGGGAGGGGGCGCAACGGCCAGGCATCGCCTCCCAGGGACCCGTGGATCCAGGATGTTTTTGATTTTTTTCTTTTTTTTGAATTTTTTTGTTTTTTGGCCTTTTTGAAAAAATTCAACAAAAAACGAAATATGTTTTTTAAGTTTTTTTTGCCTTTTTCAAAAAACTCAAAAAATGAAAAAAGTCCAGGGTGCTCCCACAGGGAGGATCAAACGCTCCAGGCCGGAGACCCTCAGGGGAGGGGCGCAACGGCCAGGCATCGCCT